TGGTAGGAAGGTCTTGAGGAATCCTTCTCACTTCTCGGCGGGCCGCTGTGACGGCAGAACGGGCTCCATTCCGAGCTGAACAGCTGCTGAGTGTAGGAGCCTTCGGGTCTATTCTCTGCATGCGTCAGCGCTGTGCGACGAGACTGGTCCGTCCGGCCCTACCGGTGCAGCGGAGCACGGTACGGGTGTAGACGTACGGGGCGCCGTAGTGACACCGAATCACCACGGCTCGCGCCACCTGATGGCGACGATTTGTTACCAAGATGCCCAGTAGCGTGTTGGCTGAGCGGTAGGCCGGGCGCTGAGTGTTGACTATTGCAAGGCCGGAGACTTTCAGAAGACGGGTCAAACGGTGATCGGGTCATTCAACGGTAGTTTTCAGCAAGCAGAAGCTCAAGTCGCTCAACAATGTAGCCCTGGATGGTTTGCCAACATGACCTAGAGCTGATATTTCAGGTCCTGGGGTTAGCGATCACTTGGGCCGTCGCATTGATGAGCATGCGGCAGTTAGAAGCACGAAGCAGCCGCGGAGCTTTCCCACGTACACTGCACGTGCGAGCTTCACTGTTTTCATATCATATTTCATGTTTCCCGGTGTCGGTGGCGTCTTGAGCAGTGCTGCGATGACAATCTGTGGCCCAGGTGTCACAGAGGCTCATTTTCTGATCTGTGCCCCCTGACGTCTGGCTTTATGGACCTCGTTTGTTTCAAGCCGCGCGCCACCTTCATCGCGCCTGCCATGTTCGCTGATGGCGGGGCCTACGGAACCGGGCAACCCCGGTCGGCCGACCCCAGTTTCTACCGTCCGGAGGAGAGTGGATCGCTGGTCGCCGGTTCTACGGCGCATGCCTACGACCGGTCGCACCTGCTGACCGTGCGTGACCGGCTGGACGGGCACGTGGCTCGCGGAGCGACCCGATACCACCCGGCACGGCTTACCAGCCCGCCTGTCCCGTCTGATCCGCCGCCGGCGAGGTCGGTGAGGCGGTGCCCGCACCCACCGGCCGATTCGGGTCATGCGCGGGCTGACCGTTGCCGCCCTGTCCGCGATGCTGATGCAGTACACCGGCCACAGACGCTAGTGTAACCCGCCAGACGGACCGTGCCGCAGACTCACCGGGGGTTTGTGGCCGTGGCGGGCGGTGCTGAGCCCGCGAGTCGACATCACTACAATATTGGTCACATCAATGCCCGGTCACTGACACGGCGACTGGACGGAGTCAATCAGCTCCTGCAGAAACACCATATGGATATCCTGTGTGTGTCTGAGACAGGGCTCAAGCCTGAGGTACTCGACAGGGTGCTGATATTCCCGGGTTTCAGCATACTGCGGCATGACCGCGGTGTCGCCAGGCTGACAGCGGCCCAGCAGGCCCCGCCGTGTGGAGGTGGAGTCGCCATACATCGTCGCGGACTTCCCCGTGCAGCGAAGCTTGACATAGGCGGTTCTGATCCCATGGTGGGATCCTTGTGGTTTGAAGTCACATTGGCACTCATGACGTCATAGTAAGGTCACTCAAATCCTCCCATTTCATAAGCCATGCGGTGGTTGTCGAAGCGTTCATATATGGGATTTGTGAGCGCGATTTCTAGACACAACAGCCCTCAATCGGCGTTCATTTGCTTTTGTGCAAGGTACGATGGCGTAATGAAACCATGACGCATTGATGGGTCCATTTACTTAACAGTGAATTATTCTGTCTGGAGCAGCGGTTTCCATTTAAAAGGCATACCAATAGCTTTAAGTAAGCTTGTTTCATCACGTTTGATGCTTGCTTCAATATTTTCAAATGTGAAACATTGCCTTTAACTGAGATATTCTGCCAGGCCCCTTAGATAACCCGCCGCTGGTCGAGTGATCGCACCTATACAGCCTAAAACCGACGATAGCAGGGAGCGGGTTGGGGACATTCTGAGTCAGCCAAGTCTCACATGCTGCCAAAAGTCTCATCCGCACGAATCGTTTAGATCACTCAGTAAGTCGGGTGTATCGGCCTTAAATGGCTGGACGTTCAGTTGCCCTATGATCCCGCTATTATGGGAGCTCCTGCTGCGGCATTGTCCGGACACCTCGAGCCTTTCCGGCAGGTCAGTGCTGAGGCCGCAGTTTCAGTTTTGTCCTCTGTTCTGCGATCTGTTCCGATCGCCTGTGCTCCCATGGGGGCACTAAAAGCTAATTGCTAGGCAGGATGGATGCTTACGGATGGATGATGGGAATTTGGCCCAAGAGGGGGCCAAATTGGGGTAAAAGGAGCCTTTTGAGCGAAGAGGATGCCACTTTGCCGCTGTGTTGACCCTGTATGTATTTGGAGATTTGTATATCTCGGGATCCCATTTGGATGCTTTGAAAGCCGGGTTTTCGTCGAAAAAATTATATTGGAAGTCCTACGGGCCGCTTAATGTTAAGAAGTCGGTATGCCTCTTCAAATGTCAAAAGATACCAGGATCTTCAGCCAAGGGTGTCCCCACCACCTTCAGAGGAAGGGTGGAGGCATGGCTCCAAAAGTCCCATTGTTGGCCAAGCCACTGCTTAGTGTGGATGTTCTTTAGATTTTTGGTAACTGTATCGTAAATGGCGCATTTGGGCTGATCCAAAACTGAAAACAACGCAAAGGCACGAGTACATTGAACTTAGTCATATTTATCCATGCATTTAACACGCCTTTGATATCATCGTGTGTTTTGATGAGCGAGGGTTTTAGAACAAAAGCGCGTATTCAAAATTACGCCTGCATAAAGTACGTACGTCATTGCTCGTAAGTATTTATCCAATGCAAACGTTTGTTACAGATGAATTTCGTTTGACTTATGTACACACGCAAAAGTTTGTCAGCATTGACCATACAGTAACATGTTTATATGGATAATGCTCTTATGGGAGTGTTAAGGACAGATCGACCAGTCAGGTACCAAATTACGCACCGTGGGCACTCAGATTGTACTGAAATTTCCTTTCCATGGGATGGCCTAAGGCAATGTAATTTGGCTATATCATTTCTAGCACTATGTGACGGCACGTGCAAAGATCGCAGTTTCGGGTAATGTTGGGTGGGGTGCAAGCGAGGCCCTGGTCAAAGCAGCTGCATAAAAACGGGTACAGCGGGTGTATCTTTCTCTCTGAACTCTGTCTTGCTTTCTATAGGAAACCGTGTACTGGGTGTCAGTTAAGCATCTGTCGCCACATTCCTCAAGCTAGTCCCCGGCCCGTTCCATTTCAGGGACATTTTGCACTAGGCCAATCGAAGATTATTTTAGAAAGGAAGACCTTCAGCTGCCGCGTTGTCGGCATTTGAGTTCAAAGTTCTTATGTCGAGTTAACGGTGTGCATACAATAAGGTCAAAAACTCAATATAGGCGTTTTTTTGGGACTAGAACGTCGTTTAACCAGTGCGTCCTATTACATCGAAGGCCGTTAAGCCAAACTCTCATTGATTTGGGTTTATTTGCTGACTGCCGTAGGGCGTATAATTTCATGGCATGAAGAGTTAGACTAGTCATCATATTTGACCGAATCTGCACAGATGTCGTTGCCCACTGCCATCCCTTTCTCGCCCCCCCCCCCCCCCCCCCGGTCACTGGTGTGGGGGCCGCCCCGCAATGACCATTCACCAGACGCCTGCCACCAAGGCTGGGGATCTCCATTTCGAACTTGCATTACTGGTCTGCATATGATCTTCTGCGTACCTAATTTGTCTCTATCATTTCTTGAGGAGCATTTGCACTTTTTCGAATGAACTTTATCTTGACGAACATCCCGCATGGGCTTACGAACTTTTGCGTAAGTACTTTTGTCATACGAACTTTATCCGTGACGAACATTTGTGTTTGACGAATGGCTTACGAACAACGGTGTGCGAACTTTTTCCATGCGAACTTTTCTGCGTACAAATATTTTCGTTACGAGCTTTTCTGACAGATGATTTTCCATATGAAGTTTGCGCTGTAGATAGGAAAATCTTGCGGTTCGAAGTTTCGACGTTACGAACCTCATGCTCACGCAGTTCTGACGAAATTTAGGCATACGAGCCTTATCGTACGGACAATTTTCACGCGAACTTTTTTCTACACGGGCTTTTGTATGCAAGACATGAGTCTAACGTGCAGAGGAAATACCTTTGGAATGGCTTTTCCACAAAAATAACGCGAACTGATCGTCACCGATAGGCTTGGACGTATGACTGGTGGTTGCATTTGCGCACAGGACAGAATATTACCTTGCTCCCAAGCATAGGTGAAACTACGCACGACGCATGTATTGATGCAATTGATGGCTGCGACAAGCTGTGAGACTCGGCCGTTAATAAATTCTTCTTATGTAGATGACGCTAGCAAACCATGAAAAATGCTAGGTGGCGCTGCGGCTGTATGTAGTTCCGATCCTCGAACCTGTGGGGATCATGAAGCGGTAAGCCACTGAATTCTTCACAAGATGTCCCACGTGCCTGGGGCATAGAGGGCTATGCTGTGGAAATTGCTCAAACATTCTTATGTTGTATTCTCACGGCTGTCTGTTTCTAGCATGCTTGTTTGTTCCAGTGCATCCGGAATCCGAGAAAATCCAGATGTGGAGCTCTGGAGAACAAGAGCGTGGTTAAATGAGATGGTCGCAGCGATAAGGAGTCCTTTACGATTTTTGCATACATGTAACGTGCTTTCTCACTTAGATAATATGTATTTCATGTCAGGCTAGGTCATGTAAAATTGGTGGAACTCTTCGAAATAAGTTCTGCGTACGCTACCGGGCTAATCGTGTGCCGGCAAATACTGTTGGACTAGGAATGCAGGGAAATGTTATCGTTTTTTTCACTGGAGTAAGAGTATGTCTGTGTGGATGCTACCCCACCCCATTCCAGTCGCTTGGAGTGGTTGCCCCACGTGTTTTATCTCGTTATCTAAAGATATCTACTATACTGAGATATTTCTAGTCCCTTGAGACTTTTCCCTATCTGGCAGCTTTTTCCCTCGGCAGTTCAGTGGTGTCACCTGTCGTGGATGTTCGTGCGCGGCTGGGCTCCGGGTGCCCGTGGTTGGGGAGTGGTTGTTGGGTCTCCCGCGTTCGCGCGGGAACATTGCGATGTGCGAATGCCATGGTGGTAAAAGCCGCCACTTAAACAGCTACGCTGTTTGAATTGGACTCGAGGGAAGCGGACCAGCCTGCCACTTTCATCAGCAGTAGCCCGCCACAGGTAAGATTATTCATTTCATTTGCGGAAGTGGCCGTATTTCGCGAATTAGTTAGTCACATAAGCTCGAAGACAATTGCAATTGTTTCGCCCACGTTTTTTAGGGTGTTTCTCGTTGATTTAAATATGACCCGTTAGATTCGAAAACTTACGCATGGTTATCGGATCACCGATTACCCGCTTCGATAAACTCTTATCGCATGACGCAGACATGCGACGCTGTGGTGCACGCCGCTAGAATGTGTTAATATGTTCTTACTCACTTAACTCACGGCGGCATGTGATTACGACTATTTTCTTCCTCCAGATACGGTATCCAACGATTGGAAATTGTGACCCGACTTCGACTCGCCCGGAACGGGGGAGGCCTGTAGGCGCGCTGGTCTCAGCGCCTGCGAGACTGCGAGTTGGAAGCCGGCGCTTGTGGATTTTCTTGAATGGAGAACGATGAGAGAAGACGTCTGATACATCAACAGAATCGTCTGACAGTGGTCAACGGAAGTGCACAATCCCTGGAGGCTGATCCGTAGTGACAAGTGAAACCGGATAGTGATTGTTTTAACCGCGGTCGATTTTATGTGGACGACGGTCCCATCGCGAGCGATACGGCTTGCATGGTGTCTCTGAATTTAATCATTGGTCCTGTTCAGGGCATGGAACATGCGCTGGTGGATCATGTGTCATGGGCGCCAAAGCAAGATTTTGCAATGCTTCTAATGGAGAGACAGCAAACTAGACGTAAGTACACATAGTGCAAATTTATGGATCTGCACTATTGTTTCTGCACTCACCATGCATTTCTGTGGAAAAAGTAACACTACAGTGAAAGGGCTGAATTGCTAAGTCACCGATAAGCATGGCCGCATCCCAAAAATCGCATGTTTGTGTCACGTTAAGCTCGAATAACGGGCCATAAAGCGCATTCCACGGTCTGGCCGCAGTGTTCTCCCATGGTCGGTTTAACTGGATGGTGTGTGCTCAACGAACACGATACGGGCGCGTGCCTGCCGGTGCGCCCCGCAACTGCATGTGTCGTAACACTGGCTCCCGACGCACGGTGCCGGGCTGCCGGGCTTGCAGCGCGACGCGTCTCGTCCCGGCACTCGTTTGTGGGGCGGTTGAACCGGGGGTGTTGGTGACCTCAGCGGCGCACATCCCGGCCATTGGTGCCTGACGTGCGAAGGGTCCCACGGTCAAGGCCGCCGTGACCCGATGCGGTGCTCAACGGCCGTTCGGGAAATCGGGCCAGCGTTGCAGGGACGCCGACGTGAAAGTGGCGATTGTTCACCTTCACGCCGTAGGTGTCGGGCTCCACGCCGACAGTAATGATCATGGGATATGTTGCACCTGTCGCCGAACAGATGTTCTCATTAGGTCACACTGTCCGGCCGGTTACACTAGCGCAGGCTCCGTAGGCAACGTCCATAATACCCGCAGAGCTGACCGTCGTAGCTGACCGAGTCGCGCTCACCCCGCCAGTCGCGCGCGGGATCGCCAAAGGTCGACGCCATGCCCATCCCCTCATCTATCTAGCCCTCATCTATCCCACCTACCTACCGGTAACGGCGGCTGTCACACTGTGATGTAACCACGGCCGAGTGGCAGCCGAGGAGCTCGAGGGTGAGGCTCAGCTGCTGGGGAGGGACAACTGAACGGCAAGTCCTTGGCGCGTCAGTTGAAAACGCTCGGCTTGGGTGTGCTTTAGTGCTGTGGAGCTTAGTGTCAGTTGCATCTGCACCGATATGGGATATTTCATGAGCGGAGCATGCCCCTCCCCCTTCCCCCTCCCCGCCCCGCTCTTGCGACCCATAGTTTTCCGATTTGTTCCCAAGTTTGGTCAGCTGACGATTTCGCTCTTACAGCGGAATGCGCGCGATATAATGCTAAATTATGACCGTCGTGGACCAATCGACTGAGCTACACGCGCTCAGTTGGCATGCGCTCTGTCAGGAATGCCTACTTTCTTTCTGTCTGCGGTCTTGTTATTGCACAGAGCTGTTGGCTGACTGGTTACCGCCGTATGACCATGTCTCGGTGATAATGGTGCCGAACTCGTCACCGCCCTGTCACTGCACGTGTGAGTCGGGCCCGACTTTGCATGTGAGCGCGGTCCTGTTGGCTTTGTGATAGTTGTGGCATCAAAAGCTGATGTTTTCCTCTGCATGGAGTGTTAAAGAGAGCATCCAAATCGTAGTACACGGCGATGAGCACGCGAATTTATCCCGGCGCAGAGCCGAAACATTCCATTTTGGTAGCTGGAACGCTATCAGCCATGGAATTATTGCGTTTGGAGCGTATTTTGTGTAGGCCGGGGGTGATGAACGATGACGTCACGTCGTTTATTGCAGCAGTCTGGCAGCTTTAAAGATGTAGGCAATAGTATTTCAATGCTCCACTTTGTGTGGAGAATTTCTATATGCGTCTCAGTTTAGTCGTATGTTGTCTATTTTGGTATTAAAATTCGTCTCTGGCGTTGGGAATCCGTGTGAAAAGATAGATGAGTTGGCACTCAGCATATTTCTCGTCATTAACCGCTGCCGCACCAACGCCTGCATAAAGTCGGGTCTGGTGTTATGCCGTATCGACCTGCATTGTTGGCATGGGATGTTGAGCCCGCTCACGCCTCTGAAGCCTGCCCGTCTGCGTGTCGATTCCCTGTGACATCCCACGCCCAAGAGCTAAGCGGCATGGCGTCATTGGTGGAAGTGCCGCGTCATGGAACATTGTCCCCGTAAACTGCATTATCCATCAGGCCCGTGATCTACGAGATTTCCCGTGAGGCCCGTGCGTCCGATGGGGTCAAACCCCATGGATCATGGGCCGCAGCTGCCGAGGCTGGAGCTCGGGCGGTGATAAGTTTTGGCGGCACTGGCGAAAGTCGCCCACGATCAGGGGACTGGCTGTCCCGTTCCCGCTAGCCTGCGGCAGTCGTGTGTCATCGACCACAAGACATGGCCATAGCGAACTGTTAGGGCGTGCCGTATTCATTGGCAGATGTCATTGCTGAGGTTTATAGCGACGCCAAAGATGCGCTTCGAAGCTGATCGTGTTTATGTCGGTGATCACGGCCAGAAAGCAAGCGCGGTCTGACGGATTCCCTCGTTGTCAAGATTCTTACCTGGGCCGGTTCTTAAAGTGTTAAAATGCGATTGAGCAATGCAAGCACCTCTATGTATATAGAAAGGCCCATCGTCCATCGCTAAAACCTTTCTGTAGAATTAACTTTTTTTAAAGGTTCATCGTAAGTTATGATGGTATTGGAGGTGTTGTTATAGGATGAAAAACGGGTTGAAAACCCAATTTGTTTCCAACACAAATATGTGCAGTTTGTTGGCGAAAAAATGGGGAGTGTCCATTTCCGGTAATGTAGCTCTACAACTGAGATTATTATAGTGATATTACAAAATAAGTCATAGTGCTACTATAATGGTAATGTTTGATGATGTTATTTTTCCAACAATGTCATGACTGTCCTTTGTCAAAGTCAGGCGGGTTTGGCTTCGCTGCGGTCTGCGTGGGCAGTTTCGCGCAGCCAGACTGGCCCCGCGCTAGCCCCAGCCTCCGCCGCGCATCTGCGTGGGCAGTTTCGCGCAGCCAGTCTGGCCCCGCGCTAGTCTCAGCCCCCGCCCCGCGTCTGCGTGGGCAGTTTCGCGCAGCCAGACTGGCCCCGCGCTAGCCCCAGCCCCCGCCGCGCGTCTACATTCGGTTAGTGGGGTCGATGTCCCTCCAGCTGCATGTTGTCTAAACGACATCTCGTTTGCCGCCGGGTGGCGACTGGGTTTGGCGCCCCCACCCTCGCTGGAGCGGATTTACGACGGGTTGGGCGAGTTTTCGTGACCCGACCTGAGCCGGGCACGGACAAGCTCAGGAGAATGGATCTGGTCCGGACAAGTACCGGAAACGGGATGGGCTGCGCCTCAATTATGAAAATTGTGTGGGCGCTTGGCGAGTCCCAGAAGCTGGGTGAGCTTTGCACGAGTTCCGAGGACTGGCTTGACACCGCGCGAGCGGGGAAAGCTCTGGAAACAGCATGGACTTTGCATCGGTTCCGGAAACTGGATGTGCTTTGGTCAAGTTCCGGAAACCGGATAGGCCGTGTTTTAGTTCCGGAGGCTGGTTGTGCCGTAGCCAAATGTTGGGGACTGGACGGATTCCGAGAAAGTTCGGGAGGCCACTCTTTATTAAGCCCATGAGCTCCTGTCATTAAGCGCTGTGACCGTATCGATCTGCGAAGAATTTTGAGATTGTATCGACTCGAGGCAAGTTTCCGAGAGGCCATCAGCTGTAGGGAAGCGCCGGAGGCCGTATTGACCCCGGGGCTTCCGAGAGCCGAGCGACTTTCCGGAGGCCAGATCGACTCGGGGCCTGTTCCCGGGCCCAAGCGTCGGCCTCCGCGCGCACGAAAGTGAGTGGAGAAAGTGTGTCGGTCGTGAAACGCCTAAAACAAGTGGCGCTGGAATGCGCCTCGCGATCGCACCGCTGATATTTGGAGAGTGGTCTGGCGGGCGTGGTCCTTTCGCCGGCCGGCTGAAAGATGCCGGTGAAAGATTCGAAACAATCGTCCCATTCTGAACCAGCGTGCCGTGCGCTGGAAGCCCCGCCGACCGTCGCTGTCTGATGCGCGCGCTGGCCCGGCCGGTTGGGGTTCGGAGGCGCGCGAGAACCGGTGAGCTCGCGTCGGACTCCGGCGCCCGTGGTGGTGGTCCGTGTGCGTACCGATGTATACCGCCCGCACGCTGCGGCCTGCTGCCGGCGTCCGTCTCACGGCGCCGCGCCCGTCCACCGTCCGTGGACCGTGGACCGAGCCGGACCGACTCGCCGGGCTCGTCAGCGAGCAGAGCCGACCGGCCCGCTGTGCAACAGGCTGGCAGCGGCCGACTGCACGCGCTGGCGTCGATGGTGGCGCGCGGCGTGCTGGCGGACCGTTACCGCTCCGTCTGTCGCCTGCGACAGCCGCGCTGACAGCCGCGTTCCGACGGCCCGCAGAGCCGAGTAAATCTCTGCAGCGGCTCGGCGGACCGTTTTACGGGCCGTTTTATGGGCCCCGTGATGGCGACACGTCGGATTTGCCGCGCCGCCTCGTCCAGCGAAAGTGTCTTGCCGCGCGGGTCATTTACTTCAACGGCGTTCGGGGGTGACGTGGTCTCTGGCACTGCGTCACAGATTACCATGCTTGTGTTCGCCCCTTCTGCCCTTTTGTGTCCAGCCCCTCCCGCGCTCGCCGTAAACACGGCCAATGTGTCGGCGCCGGCCGCCGCCCCACCCGTTGCCCGTCCGCGGACCGGCCGGCCGGGCCACGTGCGCGCGGCGCGACCGTCCGGCTATTGACCCCGGTCGGCCGGGTGGCGGCCGGCGGCCCGGCTATCGACCGCGACCGGCCAGCCAAGGTCGCCCCGCCGTCGCCAGGTCGCCGCGCCGGCGCCGCGCCGCACCGCACGCTGACCTGGGCCACGCTTCCACGGCTGACCGTACACTGGACGACGCGGCCCAGCCCGACACCGTCACGGCGACTGGGGCCAGTTCGCACGGCTGCGCTGACGGAAAGGTGACGCTTCGGGCGATGTTGGGTGCTGAAAATCGTCTGCGGCCCGGGCCCTGGGCGGTGCGGCTGAGGGGCCGTGCAGATGCTACTGCTGCCGCGCCCACGTGAGAGGTGTGGCACCGGTGACTTTGCAGTGTATGCGCTAAGAAATATGCAATGACGGGTGTTTGCGAGATGCCCGTGGATCGCTTCACGA